TTTTTTTTTTTTTTTTTTTTTTTTTTTTGAAATAAAGCAAGCTATGTATCGCACTGTATATTGAAGGAGTTGCTATTCTGTACTCTTTGTAACGTTTGGTTATTCGACAATTAAAAGCTTTTTGCACTGCAAGATGATTATTTAATTGGGTGATTTATTTTCTTGCAAACTGTCAAAGGAAAAGGTTGAAGTCACAGTATCTTTATAAAGCCATTATTAGTTAATTTTACGAAAAATGCAAAAGTTGCTGAAGGTCATTCAAAGTGTAACTTTTATAATTTTATCCCCCTATGTTCACAGCTAACTAATTCATAGCATTACTGAATGTATTAGGGAAGAAATTTTTTGTCGAATGATTGTATTTTGGGGAAACTTAGGAATACAATTTTTCTCCTCTGAAGAATCGTATGTTGTTAGTATCTTACCAGTTAGATGAAAGAAACTTTATTTCAAAATTGACTTCAGGAATGAGGAATATGGTTTTTTAAAAATCTCAAGACTATTCACTTCCTATTGAAGAGAGTGAATTAAGTTTTTTAACGATAGAGAAGAAATGCTGAGTTTTACGAATCTGAGTGGAGTAAAATAGAGAACAGTAAAATATTTGTTCAGTAAAGTGGCATCGTGCAAGGTTAACATGCTTTTAGATCTAGTTAATTGAGAGTTACTGTGGCAACTAAATTTAGCTATAGTTATTGAGGGATGAAGCAAACGTTAAGTCTCGTAAAGCTTTTTACATTAGTTTCTGTCACATTCCAGTTGTGAAACATTAAGATATTAATTTTAATTTTGGTCTATTCTAAATTTCTGTTGCTTTAGTTGGCATTATAAAATCATTTAATAATAGATAAATGATGGAAATTGTTTTAAAATTAACTGATATGCCTGTGTACAGTGAATCAGTGTTGAAATATTGAGGTTCGCATCTTGGTTATTTGTTCTTTTTAAATTGACTATTTCTTTAGTGTTTTAGTTACACAGCCATTCTCGTTTGACGTTCTAGTGCTTCAAATTAGTGAGTTTTTAGAACGAACAGGCTGATAATAGTGGGGGCACACTTGCTGGATATATTGCTAAAAGTGTTAACTTTTGTCAGAATGGCTCTCCCGGATCGGAAATATGTGTTCAAGAACTTGAAGGACCGACATCTTCGGATTGTGATTTTCGTTCTGAACGGCGGCACAAAGAATGCCTTTCGGTTCACAGCTCCCTTTTGAAAGAGCCTCAATTAGAAGACTCCAGTATGTCTTGTAAAGAAGCGTCGAGTATGTTCAATTCAAGAAGATGTGGTTCTTCTTTACGAACATCTCGAAAAAAATGCATGAAATACTGTTGCGAGAGTGATACGCAGTTAGGAGGGTTAGTTGGCAAATTTCTTGTTCGATAAGAAAACTGTTGTTTAGAATCACAGTGAATAAGGTTTTTCTGATGACGGTAATGGGTAATCTTTCAGTGTCAATGGTGGTCTCTGTAGAGGGAATTCGCAGAATTATGCTAGTAAAAAAACTGCTAGAAAAGTTCTAGATGAAAAATTCTTGGCGGGGTCGTCAAACGGACCCACTTATTTTCCAAGACTTTTTTTGGTGAAGACATTGGATGGCAGGGAAGAAATTTTTATTTCGGACAACAGTAATTCTACTGGACGAAAGGAGAAGAAAAATCTGCCGGATCTGAGTAAAGTGTTCTACTACTTCCGTCCGAAGGGCTGTTCGCCCAGTTCCGTTTTGTGTACCGAAGGTGAAGCAGTATTCATGGGTGATGCAGATGCTAGCATTTCATTTTCAGAACGAAGAAGCAAGTTTTTAGAAGGAAGCCCACACAAAGAAAAATTTAATTTCTTGGGAAACTCTGAGAAGGTTTGTGTTTGATCTTTTTTTAATGCCTTTAAATGGGCACAATATCTTTTCTTATATCGCTTAACTATATCGCTTAACGGCACAATATCTTATATCGACCAGAAGGAAAAATCCTTCTGGTCCATTTTGCTCCTCGTGCTACTCTAAAAGGCTAGGTAGTTCGGTCTTTCATGTGAAATGGGTTTTTTATTGCTGTTGAGTCTTAGTAAAAGGCCAATTTTGGTGGCTTTCTAGTAGCAAAAGGATGGTTGCCAAGGAATTTTTTACGAGACCTCTTTTGCTTAATGTAGCTTTCATAAACATCTATGGAATTTTCCCCCAGACTTGATAAAGATTTCTTTGAAGACAGTTTTGGTGTTTTTTTAAAGTTTGAAATTGTCGCTTAACTTTTGAAAGGCCTTTGAGTGGTGTTGGCAGGAATTGTCTGTGAGTATCAGTTTGTCATTGGTTTTTATGTTAGACTGTCTTTTTTGTTGGCAACGACTGTTAAGAAAGAAATCTACATGATCTTCAGTTTGTTTTCCACTTCTGTACAATTATTCAATAAAACCTTATATTATTCACCTAAATTCCTCTTGTCATATTGTCAGGAATAAAGATTCAAAAAAAATTTTTCCATCTCCTCCGTGTTAAATAAATGTTCTGTGCTCATTTCTTGTTTTACTTTTTGCTTGTCGATTCGAAGGCGAGAGACCCTCTTGCTCCCTCTTCCCCATAAAAAAGCAGTTTTTTTCAGTTTGACTGAGTATTCTAGTTATTCAGCACTTCTGGACCGTTCTTTATTGCTTCTCTTTTGTTTTAGCAGGATGTATAAAATATTTATTTTAGGGAAGTTTTTTTTAATTTTTTTTCTAAGACGAACTATTTTTATCTTTTTTTATTAAAATTATATTAACTGTAAAATCTTTTTTCCTTACCCATCTGTTGTATCATTACGTTCGTTTGCAAAACTTTTATGTAATAACAAATCTTTTGAGAAGCATTCTTGTTTTTGGTTACTTTGTTGCTTGTAGAGTATAGCTTATCTTCTCTTTCCCTCTGATTTCTCTAATATAATGAGTCAAAAACTTTTGTTTTTAGTCATTTTAGTATGATATCATAACGGCTTTTGAATGCCCTAAGAAACAAGTCAGTCATTTTTGCAGCGTAGTTTATGGTTTGTCTTGATGTACTTTGTTTTCAAGCGTCGAAGAGCGCATGAATATTCTTTCGTGTTTGGTAGCCTTTTTTTGTCATTCTATTCAGTTTTATTTTGTAATTTCAGACCGCTTTTGTGAAAAATATGCGAAGTGAAAAAAATGATTTTTCGCTTCGAAAATGCACCCGAAAACGTAATCGGAAATCGTCTTTCGATGGAACTGTAGGAGGCAAGTGCCGAACAGTCAAGCAATATTGCCAGTCTGTTTAGGTTATTCCTGTATAAATGTATGAAAAATCTTAACTTTTAACTGATTTTCATGAAAATTTTTTTTGTATGGCCTAATGAAGTTTTAATTTTTCACTAAATTCTGAATTTTGCTGTTCATTGTAATGTAATAATTTCCGAACTGTGCGAAAACGTGTACAGTTAATCAGTTTCTGGTGCTTTTCTTTCACTTTTAATGATTTTTTATTGTACACTTATTATACTGGCTCAGTTTAGTGTAGAAAATATTTTTTTACTATAGATTTGAGACAATGGAATTATTTTCGGGAAAAGTAGTTCTGAAATTGTAAGGCTTTTTTATATTTAATTACTCTCAAGAAAGAAAGACTGTTTCATTAATTATTAGTTTGTAGGTAACATCTATATGTTCTAATTTCTGTGATTTTTGTTTCTGTTAATTTGTATGTTACCGGAGCAGTTTATTAGTATTAATCGTGAATAATAGTGCTGAAAACTTCTGCAAAAAATTTTTGTTGTTTTTGCTGATGTTTATTGGTTTATTGGTTTACTGGGTTTGTTTCTTTAGGTGCTTATTTTGTACTATAATTTTTACGTGATTTAGTGCTACAAATGTTAACATCTTTCTGACAGTGGAGAAATGGCTGCATTTCTTTCCGCTTCTAACAACTGAGAATAGGATTTTTTCGCACTGCAAACTGTGCATTTATCATGTATATAATTGCAGATTACAATCAGACAATATCTGAAACTATTAAAATTGTATTACTTTTTATTTATTGTACTAATGCTCACAAGAAAATTTTAAACTTAGCATTCAAGGATGCTTCAAGACATTAAGCACTGTTAATGTTTCTTTCATTTTTGTCTGCTTTTTTTCCCAATAAATTTCTAGGCTATTTTTTTCTAGTGTAGTCTAAATATTCAAAGTTATATGAGTAGGTCACATTTAAAATTATTGCTAGTCAGTAACAGTATACCACTGAATGACGACAGTTGACACTTTTGGAGTTGATTCAGTTACGCTTACATTCAGGGATAGCACGAGCTTCTGGGATAACTTTGTTGTTCCAATTTCCAACTTGGGGTATTTTTTTTTGATACTTACATTGTCGTTGGTGATAAGCTGCTAGACTCTATGAGGAAAATTTACGTTTAGGATGCTGTTTATTTGGAGCAAACACCGAGTAAAAGTATGGAATTTTGCTGAAGGCGTTGGGCTTTGATTTACAATAGTATATAAGTTTAAACAGCTGGGAAAATTAATACATGACAATTTTTTGTTTGAAACAGGATAACATTTATGAAGAATTTTATTGCTTGCTTCGACGGTTTAAAATTTCTGGATAAATGTTCACCAAATTGCGCAGACTTAGAAATTGCCAACTGTTTTGCCATTTTTAAAACGATAATTAACCAAAATTTTTTACATTTTTAGAGCAATTTGAACCTTATTAAAACTTTATTTTTGGTTTTTACGATGGAGTAAATGTTTTGGATTTTTTGACGATTTTATTTCAACAACGAGCAAAGGCACTTCTCTGATCGATTTTAACAGTAATTTTTTTTGTGAAAAATTTGGTTAACATTAGCTACTGCAATAAATGCATGAAAAATGTCTTTTTTTTATTGAGCACTAATTTTTTGAGAAAATCTGCTTCTGTTTTTGGTAATTTAAGTGAAAAATTTTTTTGCTTTTATTTTTCGTAGGCGTTTAAAGCAACTTTTCTTCGAGTTTTTTGTTGCCATATTTAACATTTTTTATGATATAATGAGTGGTGTGTTGGTATAGTATAAGTGGTTTCATTTTACTGCTTTTAAAATTTACTAATGGCATTGATGATTGTAGCGTAATTACGAGCGAGTTAACTAAACCATTTTTTAGCGTTTTGGTATTCCATTATACGCTTTTTGCTGTAACTATTTTTCATTTGTTGGCTGCTACAGTACTGAGTTTGGTGAACGTTTGGAAAAATATAATTGAAATTGAGTAACGTTTACTAAAATTGTAGACTGATGTAGTCTTCAAAGAATTATAGTTGCGAAGTTCAGGTGACTGGGTACCGTATACAACAAAAATTAAGCTTGAGTTTGCGACTGTTTTTTGTGCACAATGTGTCT